GAACTGGGTCCAGAAGATTCTGAGGCCATGCTAAGGAGGAAGGGTAAGATTTGGACAAGGAAATATCCAGAGCAGTCAGGCAGGCATTCTGCCGCGGGGGGCCTGCAAACTCCGGCACAACGGCCAGATGCACCCACTGCCTGGTTCTGTAAATAAAGTTTTATCGGAACACAACTACAACCACTTGTTTACACATAGTCTTTGGGTGTTTTCATGCCATTTTGCAGGGTTTGAGTTGTTGCAGCAGAGAATGCACAGCCCTCAAACCCTAAAATACTTACTGTCTGTCCTCTTACAGGAGCATTTTGTCAACCTTGCTCTACGTACACAGTTGTTAGAGCTAGGTCCTCAGGTCCACAGCACTGTTACCATTGCACATTTCTGGGTCTCACCTCAGACCTACTCCATGAGAAATTCTGGATTTGGGGCCTAGCGATCTGTGTGTCCTAAGCCCTTCAGGTGACTCTGACAACCATCGCTCTAGGTTCCTGGTCCCATGGCTACTTACTTGGGCCTTGATGCTAGCCAGGCAGCTGGGGTCTAGGAGAAACAGACAACAGTAAAAGGAAAGGAGGTACAATCAGAAAGCTAGGGGGAATCCCAAGAAGAATCTCTCCTGGTACGTTCTAAAATGTAGATTGCCCGGAGGAAGGAACTCATTGTTGGATCCCACCATTTGCCCAGAACTACCTGCTCAGAGTGTATCTGTGAAAGAATGGGTGCAGGCCAGTGTGTGTGGAGAGGAGCCAGTCCCCAGGTGGGATCCAGAGTCTGCAGGTGGAAACGGGGAAATAGGTATGCTCGGCAGGAGTGGCTCAGGACCAAGTCTGAAACCGATTCAGAGGAACAAAGTTACTACCAAAGACTGAAGAACAGAAACAAACATTTAAAAACTTATAAAGATTTGAATAAAATTCTAACTTTGGTTTAATCAGTTTTACTTCTCATTTGCTGCCTTTGGGTGTTTGTTGATTCCTGGGATTTTGTTCTTACCATGGTAGTTCAGCTGTACCTCTGTTTGACCTTGGATAGTTTACTCAACCGCCCCAAAACTATTAACTGAATAAATGTAAAGCACGTGGCAGTGTTTGATACATTTTCTCTAGTAAGGAAGTATTTTTCTTCATCTTCCTGCCACAGTCTTATTTCATACTGAAATAGAGGTTACCAAATGTTGCTCATATTTACTCTAGTAGGAAAACTTTGCTTACCGACATTCTTTCTTTGCTTTAAAGAAACTTCTGCCAAATAGTCCGTGTTGTAATCTGAAACCCAAATTGATATGAGTTTAATTATTATACCTTTTATTATTTAGGAATATTATCACAGACTTTGTAAAAATACAAAATAATCTAAGTACTAACCAAACATTTGCTAATATGGAAATAAGTCATTTTGAGGTTCTGTTATTTAGCAAAATATACATGTCCTGGGAAAAATATGATTTCTAAATCCATCATAATACATTTTATCATACAGTTTTTAAATATGCTGCATGAAGCCTTTTATCTTCACTAGGAATTTTATATTTCTATGACTTTTTAAAAATTCTACATATGTTATGAACATCTGAAAGAGAAAATAAGATGCTTGAGGGCTTTACTAGGTGAATAAATATTATTTCATGATTTTTCAATGATCATTAAATCTACATTATGTCGAAGAGTCATCAACCTGAAACCCTTATAACTTTTGGCATAGTGACATTTTGAAAGTAAGATTAGTGTTTGAGGTTTTTTTTTTTTTTTTAATTCCATAAATGCCATGGGGATTTTATCACGTTTCAACACTTGCTGAATATGTAATTCCCATAGTGCCCATTAGTGGCCATCTGTGTAAGGTAATACATGTTTGGGATGAAATTGATTACGGCTTAAACACTCCTGTGTTATGATCAGGAAAAGCACGCAAAGTTCAAATTTTTTTTCTAGTGGTCATTATGTAGCTAAAGATATTAATTTCCAGGGGCAGAACAGCCTATCACTCAAGATCTTAATCTCACAATAATGACACCAGGGCCAAAGGAAAGGAGGCAGCAGAGCCTTCCCCTAAAATTAGTAAGTGCTGTACCCGAGGAGTTTTTAGGATAAAAGGAAGATTAACAGGCTTGAGAACAGTTTTTCCTCTGTAGGCTTCAAAATAGACCCACTGCAATTTTGCTGAATATTCAAAACTGTTTCATCACCCTTTTTAGAAATTCCTCTTATCATAGTCACCAAAACACCCCAAGTTAGCCTTCTTCTCAACTTTTTTCAGCATACACATCACTGGAGGTGTCCTTCATATTATTTTTACCTGGTTTAAAAAATATTTCTTTTTTACTTGTGCAAACCAGGTGCTTTCCTTCCTTCAAATATGGCTTCAATGCAGTCAGTTTATTTTTATTAGATTTGTGCATGATAATGTATATCTGTATACTTCCTGAGCTCATTTCTCCCCTTAGAGCTACAAGATACACAAATATACTTGTTTATGTATTTCTAATGAATGTGTTCACATCTTGGCTCTCCCGTTATCTACTTACCTCAGAGTTTTGTGAGACATTGCGAAAAAAAATAAATTTTTAGGTTAGAAAATTTTGAGAGCTTGTATTACTGAATGATCCTCGTGATCATTTAAAAGTCTTTGCTTTCTGTGGAATATTTGACATTTGAATACAGCTATATTCTGATCTTCCCTGGGATGGGGGCCAGGATGGTTTAGCTGCAGATGCCCCAAAAGTAGCTGAGCAAATGGGGATAGAATCATTGTCTAAATGCTGAAATACAGCAATTGTGATGTTGGCATAGTTGTTGCTGAACTGTTCTTCCTTTTCATTCTTGAACTTCTTGATGATAATTATTCATCAGGTTATGATAGATTTCAAATCTGCTTCCCATTAAAGATAATAAAATGATACTATCTCCTTGAAGAAGGGAATTTGCCTTCCTGTCTTATGTATTATAAACTAAGAAGTCATGCATCAAGTGAATCTAATAGCCATATAACCTATTTGGAGTATATTGAAAAGAATATGGTCTAGATTGCAGCAGTACTTTATAACATTTGGATTTGGGCTTTTTTGTTTTTGTCCTTCCCTCACTTTCACTAACTCAACAAACACTGAATGCTGACTGTCAGTGTTCTGGAGATGTAGTGTAAAGATGAACAAGACATGGTCCCTACTCCTGAACAAAACTATCAGTTGTACATAAAATAGCTAATCTGAATATGATAAATTAAGGTGGTCTGAAGATGAGCAAAGTTCTATCAGGGCACTGCAGAGGGGAAAACTTGTTTTAGAAGTAAAACTTCAAAGAAGCAGTAACTTTTGAGTTTGGCCTTGCAGGATGAGCCAAGTTTCTCCAGGCAAAGTAGCGGAGGATGTGTGTATCTTAAACATACATGCACCCGTAAACACATGTGTACATAAACACTAATGCATATGCATGCCCATCTGTAAGCACTGTGATAGAGACTATTGGCTGGCTAATTTAACACCCATTCCCATCCCTCTTCTGTCTTGCCCATTATCGAGGCTGGAAAAGCTAAGTACTAATAGTTAAGGATGGTCATGTAAATATCAATAACGAAATATGGCCATATTTGGAAATCTGCCAAGGACTTTTAGAAACACTTTTGCTTTCAAATAAGAGATGGGTACAGTTGGCATTACCCCCCTTACTTTTGTCTTCAGGTGTGGCAGTGCTCATTACAGCTGTGGCCGCCACCTTGAGATGTTGAGAGATACGTGCAGAGTGAATCTAATGCCCACACCTGCCTGTCCCAATACTACTTATGGAAGGAAAACAAAATCTTTATTTAAGCCACTGTTAGATTTTTTCTGTTGTAGCCAAAAGCATTCCTAACTAATACATTCACAAACTCTCTCTCACTTACTCGTGTGTATTTGCATATATTTTCCATGCATACCAAGACTTAGGACTAATTTTAGACTTACACTTTGGCAAATAGTAAATGGAACTTAATGTTAGAAGGAAGAGAGAAAATGGAATGCTTTCTTTGTTATTACCAACTTGGACACTCCTTAGCACTTGATTTCCCTTGTATCTATACGGCCTTAGTCTGATGTTTTAAATAAAAAACAAAGGCAAGAAGGGAAAAAAACTTGAAAGGTAAATGTTGGGGTGGATCATATTGGCAGTTAAGTTACAGGGAAAAATCCAAGAATCAGTTGATTGTGGCTTAGTTTGTCACTGTGCATTCCTATGTATTTAGGACCAAGAACCATTGCCTCCATCTATGTGGTGAGCCAGGTTTCCCTAACAACCAAAAAGTTGTTCTCTTTTCCCTCCATTTAGGAAGATGAGAGCAGAAACCATTCTTCTTTCTGGTGAGCGATTGGAAGAGCTTCCTGCAGAGCATATTGATTGTGTTCAGTCTTATATGAAAGATGCCATCTTTAACAGACTCTGGCCTTCCACTACCTAAATATGGAGCCATGTGAAAAGTGCCCAGCCTGTTCTTTCTTACAGACACTGATGCTATCTCTTGGTTTATTTCTCTCTTCCTCAGCATTTCTAATTGTATGATATGTGTACATTTTCTGACACGCATCAAATTACAATTTAATTATCTCAGCATTCTTTTTTTAATGAGCATTTATTCTTTTTTTCAAACAGGGCAGCAAGATTGCTTCTTTGCTCTGAACAACTTCCATCGTTTTTGTTTTTGCTATTTTTCGGTAGCTGCCTGCTCCTCTTTAACTCCCTTTTGATTTCCCCCTTCTGTATGGCTTTTTGTCGTATTTTTGTTTTTGTAAGAATCCATCCCCTACCTAGGTAGACAGGGGTAAGATAGTACAGGTATCTTCAGTTCATGCCAAGGTACTGGATCAAAGTCAGGGATCCTTAAGAGAAAACTCTCTGGAATAGTTGGAATTTATATCAAAGTCTATGTATTACCATTTAGGCTCTGATTGAAAGACATATGCACAGTTCAATTCTTAAAGAATCTAAACTGGTTTTTTTCTTAAAAGTTTTTCCACTCATTTTCCCCAGAATCTTCAGCTACTTGGAGCTACAGCCATTGAAGATAAATTACAAGATCAAGTGCCTGAAACTATAGAAACTCTCATGAAAGCAGACATCAAAATCTGGATCCTTACAGGGGACAAGCAAGAAACTGCCATTAACATTGGTAATCCACCTAATTCAAGCTTTAAATTGTGATGCTTTTTAACACGCTGACATATTTTGGAAGATAAATTTGAGAGATTTCAAGATCTGAAAGATTGGGTTTTGTAAGATTTCCGTATTTGTAATATTATCAGGCTTCTCTATTTACTTACGGCCCCAGTGCCCCTTAACATTTGCAGTGGTTGTGCGTACAGCCAGACCTTAGCTCTTGCAACCACAAAATAACCCTCTCTCACCTTTGTATCTCTGCCTACCCCCACCTTCCAACCATAATTGACACATGTAGATAACATCTCTGCAGTTGCCTGAATGTCTGGAGGTTGGGATTAGGGCACATTTGTGTATTAGCACTAGTTTATGTGAACACAGGTTATTTCTGGGATGGGAAGTAAGAAGGTTGCCAGTTTTCATTCATCCTGCAGTTAATTCATTTTTCACAAAGAGGTTTTATTAGGTAGCTCATGCTTGCCATAGCAACATACTAGAGATGGTGTGGGTTCAACAGCAGAAATTTATTTTCTCATAGTTCTGGAAGCTGGAAGTCCAAGATCAGGCATCAGCAGGTTTGGTTTTTCCCGGAGCTTCTCTTCCTGGCTTGCAGTGGCCACCTTCCCGCTGCATCCTCAGCTGGCCTCTCCTCTGTAGATGCATGCTCCTGGTGTCCCCTTCTTTTCTTACAAGGGCCCCAGTACGATTGGTTCAGGAACCCGCCTTCTGACCTCATGTAACTCTAACTTCTTGAAGGCCCAATCTGCAAATATTGTGGGTGAGGGCTTCAACGTGTAAAACAGGGGGAACACAATTCAGTCCATAACAGCGGTCTCATTGAGAAGAACGTTAGTGTTTGGTGTGAGGCCTCTAGTACCAGTTATATGCAAGAAAAGGTCACTCTTTTTTTTTCTTCCACATTCGGTAATAGTAGGTTGCCTGAACACTGTCAGCCCTGACATAGAAAAACCTCTGGTTATTCATGATATGAATTACATCCAAAACTCTCCCAAAGTTGAAGAAACCATTCAGAGGTGTTTACAGCATGAAACCACGTTTTTAGAAAGTCATTGTCAAATATCAAGAAACATTTACCTAATATTCCTTTTAGAGTGTTTTGTAATCACAGCATTCTGTAAATATAAAACTACAGATTTATAGTAAATTGCTGGGACTAGAGGAAAATTAATTTTTAAAAGACACTCGCTAGTAGAAGTATAAATCTGTAAGCCACACAAACAGTTAATTTTGATTATAAAAATTATCACTGGTGTTAGAGACAAATGGAAAGACGATGTACAAGAATACAAAATGCTTTAGAGTTGGGAGACCTGACAGACAAAACAGAAAACATGACTACAGATAGAAGGAGACTATATGGTGACAAAGAGTGATATCTGAAGAAAACTAAGTGATCCTGAAAATAGTTCAGGGCATGTAGCCATTATGACCATTCCTGTGAAGAGTACGGTGGTGGTTTCTGGTAACATTTAAGTTTTAGAGTCTTGGGTCACAATCTTTGGGGCCTTTTCCTAGAATAAAATAGATTCATTCAGATGGCATATGGTTATGGTGCATTGCACAGAAGGATTCAGTTTTAAATCAGGAGGTCAAGAAGAACTCACTGAGATGGCGACGTTTGCGAAACAACCTGAGAGAGGAGAGGGAGGGAGCTTGTCATTTAGATGATTAGAGAAAGCTGCCTTCTGTTCTGGAAAGAGCAGAAATGCCAAGAGGGAGAGTAGGAGAAAAGGCCAGCAGCGTAACAGCCTCGGTTGGATGAGGCCTCCCAGGCCCTTGTGAGGGCTTTGCATTTAGTCTGAGTGAGATGGGAAGCCACGGGATGGTTCTGAGCAGAGGAGAGACGTGGACTGACTTTGCCGTGGAAACGATCACTCTGGCCGCTAGCCTGGCTGAGAATGGACTGGAAGGGAAGCCCGTGTGGAAGCAGGGAGACCAGTGAAGAGGCTCTTGCATTAATCCAGGTGAGGCATGGTGGTGACTTGGACCTGGGTGGTAACAGTGAAGCTGGTGAGAAATGGTTGGAACAGGTATATATTTTAAAGATGGAGCCCACAGGATTGGCCAATAGATTAGATGTAGGGCATGAGAGAAAGAAAGGACTCAGGCATAACCCCAAGGACTTTTAGCCATAGTGACTGAAGGATGGAGTTGCCATTAACCAAAATGAGGAAGACTGAGGAGAAACAGGTTTTCTGGGAGGAGATAGAGAGTCTGGTTTTGGATCTGTTGAGTTTGAGTTGCCTGTTTTGTACCTCAGCGTCTGCTGTTACACGGGCGCTGGAATGTGAGAGGCTGGAGTTTAGGAAAGAGCTCTAAGGGGGAGATCTGAGTTCCAGAATGGTCAGTGTTTAGATGGTATCTAAAACCATTGTATCAGATGAGCTCACAAAAGGAGTAAGTATCAATGATACTAGTTTACGTGCGATGGTCATGTTTTAAACACCAGTCAGCGGGGCTTGCTTGTTTTCTCCAGCCATGTTCAGCTATACACAGATGGGTCCAGAGGAGGCAGAGTTGGTTACACCAGTGGGTGATTTTGCCCTGCAGCAGGTACGGCAAAGCAAGAAAGGACCGGACCGTGGAGGACATGAACACAGTCCAAAGGCAGGGAGATGGTGGTGCGATCAGTGGTCCAAAAGATAGGTGGGTGCAGATAAGATAGATCTGCACCTTCTCCGGAAACAACCATCAGCCCATCTTCTGTTCCTCACGTTGGTCATCGTGAAGGATATTCAGTATAAATTTGTTGGTTTTCAGGACATTGAGAATCATTACCACTTTCTCTTTCCCTACTTGTTTATCAAGACAGCCTTAACACACCAAATGTTATCCTTGTGTCCTTCCTGTAATAAGAGCATTTCTTTAACTTCCTACAAACCTGGAAACAGGTGACTGTCATCAAGTCCTAATAAAATAGATAAAACCTTTATTTTATCTAATAAAATTTAGATGTTTTTATAGTATCACTTTAACATCTTCACTACTTTTCTCTAGAGAAATGAATGATATCAATTAATCTACTCTATGTTTGGACATAGGACACTCCTGCAAACTTTTGAGGAAGAACATGGGAATGATTGTTATAAATGAAGGCTCTCTTGATGTAAGTAAAATTATCCTTCTAAAAAAAAATCCTTTAATAACTTAATCATCTTGTATTTTATTTTATATCCAAATAGCTGTGGAAATATTTGATCTTCCTCAGGTTAAAAGATACTTCTCACTCTTGTTCTGCTATAACATAATGTATACTGTTCTGAACCACATCGAGGTAAATAGATTCCAGCTTTGTGTCCGCGACAGCTAAAACAAGTTGCTAAATGATTTGCTTGATGGTGTGAGACAAAACTGCTTTACAAAAGCATTATGTCAGGAGGTTATGAATGACTGCGGTTGTTCATATCTACATGGGAATTTTTTTTTTAATTTTTTTAAAGATTGTATTTATTCATCTGAGAGAGAGAGAGAGCGAGCATAAGCGGGGGGTGAGGAGAAACAGAAGGAGAGGGAGAAACAGACTCCCCATTGACCAGGGAACCTGATGTGGGGCTCCATCCCCGGGATCATGATCCAAGCCAAAGACAGACGTTTAACCGACTGAGCCACGCAGGCACTCCCTCCCTGGGAATTTTGTATATTAAACATTTAATATCTGGGGCGCCTGGGTGGCTCAGTCGTTAAGCGTCTGCCTTCGGCTCAGGTCATGATCCCAGGGTCCTGGGATGGAGCCCCACATCGGGCTCCCTGCTCAGCGGGAAGCCTGCTTCTCCCTCTCCCACTCCCCCTGCTTGTGTTCCCTCTCTCGCTGTCTCTCTGTCAAATAAATGAATAAAATCTTTTAAATAAATAAATAAAACATTTAATATCTGCTTTAGCTTCCAGGGTTAATACATATTTTGTTTCTTTAAAAAAAAACCTGCAGAATCTATTAAACAGCATGAATTCACCATTTCTTACAGGAAAGTCATGCTGTTTTTTTAATGTCCTAACTTCTGGGCTGAAATACAGATTCCTAGGACGTCCTTTATTCATGGCTGTGATCACATGAAGTTATATTTGGGAAAGAGGGAAAGATTTGTTATGTTTTCAGTGTCCAGTAGAAGTTAAGCAAAAAAAAAAAAAAATATATATATATATATATGCAGGTCAAATGACCTGTAAGAATTTTAAAGTAAAGGCGACTGTTTGTAACTTAAGGTGGAAGACAGAGCAGGGGAGTGACTATACAACTGTTTAAAATAGTCATGGTGACGCAAAGAGCAGAGCTGAGAAGAACCTATTAGTAAGGATGTGGGCGAAGTGGTGGGGCCAAGTGCGTAGAAGGAATGGTAAAGAGGCAAATGTTTAGAAGTCAGGGGGAGAACAGAAATTACATCTGAGAAGTGTTTGATTTCTGATCTTTGGATTGGAATGATGATCTCTTCCTTATCTGTCCTCAAAACAATCCTTGTGATCGCTTTCCCTTTCTTGTGAAACCTTTGAGAAATGTGTAGTCTAAAGAATAATGCATGATTTTGAAACCATGAAAGTTGGTCACATCTTTAGTAATAAGTACAGTTTGTGAACCATGCTTTATTTTAAGATTTTATTTATTTATTTATTTGACAGAGCACAAGCAGGGGGAGCAGCAGAAGGAGAGGGAGAAGCAGGCTTCCCACTGAGCAGGGAGACTGGTGTGGGGCTCAGTTCCAGGACCCTGGGATCATGACCTGGGTCAAAGGCAGATGCTTAACCAACTGAACCACCCAGGTGCCCTGTGAACCATGCTTTAATCCTAAAAACACAAACCAAAAAAACAAACAAAAAATCCCAGCCTGTGGTTGGAAGACTTTCCTTTTTATTTATTCATCTAGTAGGCCTCTGCTAGCCCCGAGAACACACCACTAAGCAAGCACTCAGTGGACTCTGCCCCTTATAGCTCACAGTGTCGCTGTTCCCTACCCCCATATTGTTAATTTTTGGTTTGTTCAAGTTACGATGTTGTGAAAAATTATAACTGTGATAGCCCTGCCCTTCAAAAGCTTACAGATGACCAGGGAAGTAAAATGCATACAAGTAACAGTACAAAACAGATGTGTAAATAAGGTAGCTGTCTTGCTATGAAAATATTGTGAAGCTTAGGGAAGTATTTAAAGTAAGTGGCATTTAGTTAGGTAGAGGTGAGAAGTTGAGTAATGGAGGAATACTTGAAGCAGAAAGTTTATGCAAGTAAGTTCAAGGTATATTTGGGGCATAAAAGAGCAACATTGAACTTGAACACAAGGTCATAATTTTTTTAAGCATTCTTCGTTTGAATAAATGTAGGCACATAAGGTAAAATGCAAGTTACAGAAAGGGATAAGTACAAGTGTTAAAAAGTGAATCCCCCATCCTCACACCCAAGCTACCCAGTTTATCTCCCTAGGAACGGCCACCGGTTCCAGTTTCCAAGTGTTCATCCAGAGATATTCTGCCATATCTATGCACACATACTTTGTTATTGAACATAAATTATACCATTCTATCCACACTGCTTTATACTTTGTTTTTCTCAATATTACCATAGCAATTGCTCTGTGGTAGGATAGATGAGCTACCTAATTCTTTAATCATGGCGCAGTGTTTATGGGGAAACTGTAAAGAAATGACAGAGGGCTTAAACCTGGAACGGTCGGGGCGCCTGGGTGGCTCAGTTGGTTGAGCGACTGCCTTCGGCTCAGGTCATGATCCTGGAGTCCCGGGATCGAGTCCCACATCGGGCTCCCTGCTCGGCAAGGAGTCTGCTTCTCCCTCTGGCCCTCTTCCCTCTCGTGCTCTCTATCTCTCATTCTCTCTCTCTCTCTCATAAATAAATTAAAAAAAATTAAAAAAAAAAAAAAAACCTGGAAAGGTGGTCTCAGATCAACTGGGGAGTGCTGGGCCAGGTTTGAGAATTCGCTTCCCCAGGCAAGGGAAACAACTTCATCAGCCTCTTCAAAGAGGTAAGATGTGTAGAAGGAACTGTCCACAGACAAGTGTGGAAGGACAGGGAGGTGTGGGGTACCGGCAACGGACCAGGATCACAGGTAGGTAACAGAGAATGGGAGCACCAGTGCCGGCGATGTGGTGTGAGAGAAATTCAGGGAGACTTATCCCACGTGATCCCTGCAGTGGTTCCAAAACTGGGTTGCCGTTGTTCCCAACATTGAAGAAACCTCCGTGGAAGCGTTCCCTTAGTCCTGAGACATTTAGGCCTGTGTCAGCAACATGGGTTACAGGTAATAGATGCTTTTTTCTGACGCTTGAAAGAGATCAGGAGTAAGGCCTGTGAGGCTGACACAAGCGCGTGACGAGCCATGCTTCATCTGACACGTGATCCTTTCTGTCTGCGCGTAAGCTTCCACCTCGCGGAGGGTGTGATAGCAATGCTGCTTTTGTTTTCATCTGTTTCATAATTTTTCTCCAACTGGGATACACATGTTCTGTATGTGTTCTGAGTATCGAGTGAGATAAATAGTACTCTCAAGGGAAAAAAAGAAAAGTGAAATGCCAAAAATATTCAGTGCACTGCATCATGATTGTTAGGACAAGGGCATGTATTTTCATTTTGAAGGTTTCAGGGCGGTAACTCATAAGTGATAAACACCCAAAGGGTCCCTGCATTACCTGTTTCTACTGGACTAAACACAGGTAGGACTCCCAAGGGAATAGTCCATTTCAGTGAAAGCAGGATGCGCGTCTGTCTGTTTTGGTTAACGATTCTCTATCAGTGCCCAGCAAATTGCGCACCACACGATAAGTACTCCAGAAGTATTTGAGAATTAAGTCACTGAGTAATGATAAATTAAGGGTTTACCTTTAAAAAAAAAAAAAAAAAGTTGTGTATCCGTTTTAAATTCAGCAGTAATTGCTCTTATCTGGTATTTGAAGAGCAGTTAGAAAGATCCTTAGCAATTCAAGTGACCGCGAGGTGTGGAAGATCATAGGCAAATCCTGGCTGAATGGATTAATGCTAATTTATCCAGCTCTGCACTGCCATGCATTCTCTCGCTGCCGTCTGGGGAAGGTTTTTCTCCCAGGGAGTTAAGTGGTGACTTTACAAATCTGGCTGTTTGGGGTCAGACCCGCTGTGGTGCACTCATTTGCTTCTCAGCAGGAAAGGAAACATCACTTTGCATAGCTCCTTCAGATCCTGTGTCATAAAATCCACAGCTAAGATTTCAAGCGAATCATTAGATGGGCTAGAATGCTTGTAGATAAACCATTATTTATTTTTCATTGTCATGGGAAAGAAAAGCACCCTCTGTGTCCAAATTGTACTGATTATGATAAAATACGGGATTGCCATTCCATGAGCACAAAGAAATAATTAACATTTAGGTAATAAACTTAGTAGGAACATAGTATTTTAGGAAATAATGTAATAGAAAATAGACTGTGGGTGTGTGTTTCATCAAGTGACAGTTTTAATGAGCATACTCAAATTATTCCGTGAAATGGTACAGTTCTGCCCTATTCTGAAAGTGGGACCCTGGGCAAATTGAAATTAGGTAACTTCTCTGAGCCAGTTTTGCTGCCTATAAAGGGAGGAGAATGTTACCCTTGGCAGAGGACTGGTATGGTTACTATAGGGCACGGCACGTAGAAGAAAAAGATGGTATAAAATTTTGTGGAAAAATAGTATTTAGCAGCTTGCAAGTTGTTCTGCGTAATGGTCATTTTCATTACAAAAGATATATTATTTCCCCATCTTCTAATTTTTTTCTAAGCAAGATATAAGTGTAGATCTTCTTTTGCATAAGTGATGCATATCGCTTGAACTGTGCAAATTTTCTGCCAAGATATTCCTAATACTGTTAACATTTTAAAGCGGAATCTCTCTTTTTTATGTTGAACTTGTCCAAGTAAAATATTATATTTGAGGCTCTTCAGTTTCCAAACAGAAAAACCTTTCTCCTGGCAATCACAGTAATAGAAATTTTTGTGCTCATGTCAAAAAAAAAAAAAATGTTATTTGGCTTTCTAAATTTTCTCATTTTGAGAAAATTATCCTTCTTGAAAAATTTAATGGCTGTTCAGCATTGTTTAAAACCTTTAAGTAAACATATAAAACCAAACCACAGTTGAGAATACAGAATGAAAGTC